TTTCGACCGCGTGACTCGCCATCAGCACGTCGCGCAGAGCGCCGGAACCGCAGATTCAATCGTGATTGTACCTTGCCAGAGCCGCCGCCACCACCTACGCCGAAGGCGAGGGCGGCAGACAAGAGCAAGGGCAAGGACAAGTCAGGCAGCTGGAACACAAGCAGAGTAATAAACATGGGCGATGATCGTCAACGAGGCCATTATCAATGGAACTGGCGCGCCAGTGATGAATGGGGTGATTCTCGAAGCTGGCGAGAAGGTTGGCGCAGGTGAGAATGCTGCAAATAGACCAATGCGACTTCGCCGACACTAGTCTCGCGTCCAACGTGATGTTGGCGCACCAGGTGTGCAAGAACTTTGTGGTCTGAGCTGACATTAGATATTAGCTCTGGCGGGTTTCGCCGGGTTGTTTCGGCCTTCTGCCCCCTGGCAACAGCAGTCGAGCGGTAAAATTGTTTTTGGGGTTCGCTCCTGTGGCTGTGCATATGTGCAGGCCAGGTGGGTAGGGGTCGGGGCGACTCTACGCGCCCCGCCACGGGGAGAGTCAATGCGCTCCTTCCGCGCTACCATCCTGCTGCCTCCTTTGCTCTCTCACTTTAGCACTGCTTGACTTGTCTGTTTCTTTGCAGCTGTTTGGCTCTAGGGAAACAAAACAGGGGCGAGCCTGCGGCGCGCGCGCGCGTGCGTCGGCCGGCGGGCCGGCCTCCTCCTTTCAGGGTTACCCTATTGCTAGATTAACGGTGTTCTCTTTCCTCCCCACGTCATCGGCGAAGCCCGCTGATCATGAGACATCAACAGAACGTATCGCATGGATAGTGAATATTCAGGCAAATTAGTATGAATTCTTTTAGTAAGGGTAATAGTAAGAAAACGACGAAGAATTCCAATACGAATGAGACGGACAATAACAAGCATGTGGCGAATAAAAGAAACCATGCCAATTAATATTACTTGTGCTCATCGTTGCAATGCGCATACGGATCACTGAATGAAATATAATTTCAATTTGTGTACGGTGAAGTTGACCGTTAGAAACAATATTACGACTAGAACTAGTCACAATAAAACGAAGGAGGATAATAGTAAAACGAAAAATGCAGTGAACAATGGGAGTCATAATATTACTATTAAGGGTACGATTAACAAGGGTATGCTACGTATTAATTTGGATGAGAGTAATAATTTGTATATTTAAAATAATTTTAGCAACAATAATAACCATACTACGTTTATGCATGGGACTATGACATCATTCCCAACATCAGATATATCATGATGACTCGTATTATTATTGTTATTATTATTATTCCTAGTAGTATTAGGACGGATGCTAAGAAGAGGAGTGAGCCTAATCATACCAACGTTACTATTGATCATACATTCGTACTCGTACCAGAAATATGAATACTGCTACTATCGATACCAATCGTAAGAATAAATAATACGACGAACAATAGTGGAACAAACTAATGCGAGTAATACGAAACACAATCATAGTATGTATTTTTTTTAAGACCACTAGCGGTATCAACAATACAAAACACAACACACGAGCATACGATTAAACCACACAGTAGAAACAACAACACGGTACGTAAGCATAATATGACCAATGCGGCAACGAACGAACTTATTCATACGTGTAAAACTAGTATTTTAACAAAACGAAGTAAGACGAGGAGGAGGAGGAGGAGGAGGAGGAGGAGGAGGAGGAGGAGGAGGAGGAGGAGGAGGAGGAGGCGGAGGAGGAGGGGGAGGAGGAGGAGGAGGACGAGGAGGAGGAGAGGAGGAGGAGGAGGAGGAGGAGGATCAGGAGGATCGGGGGAGGAAGAGGCCGCGGGCCAGCGGCCAACGGTTGTAGGGGGTACGCGCGGCGTGCTCGCCCTCTGGAGAGTCGGCGCGGGCGTGGCGGCGCGCGGCCCCGCGAGGGTCCGAGGCCGCGCGGGCCCCTGGGGCCCAGGTGCCCCGGGTTGTCAAGCGACGCGGTGGTTGTCGGGCCGTGCCAGGGCAACGACCAAGAGGAACTCGGCTGGGCTGGCGTCGGCCAGGTGAACTCGGCCAGGCTGACCTCGGCCGGCTGGCCTCGGCCAAGCCGAACGGGGGTGAGCTGAACTCGGCCTGGGCCGAATTCAGCCTGGCCGGGTTTCGCCTGGCCAAGTCTTTCACTTGTCCCCAGAAGGGGGAACTAGCCTCAGCGTCCCATTTTTTCACTCCGGGCGAAGTCGCCTCCTTTCGGGCCTCGGGGCCCTCGCAGATCGATCGGGCTCGAGAAAACGGCAGTAAGACTGTGTCTAGGGCTGCAGTCGCGATCTCATAGGATGTTTTTTTTTGTTTTGGGGCGTCGTCGGAGGATCTCAGGGCTAGGGGGAGGTGGATACCATTGCCAGGGGCCATGGGATCTCCTCGGGTCTCGTGGCCCCCTGTTCTTCTTCTTCTTCGTCTTCCTTCTTCTTCTTCTTCTTCTTCTTCTTCTTCCTGTTCTTCTCCTTCTTCTTCTTCTTCTTCCAGCGCGTGCCCCGGTGGCCTGTCGTCTGCACATGCATCGGGCCATGATCTGTTACCCCGCTTGGCCTCGTGGGCGAGAAACATATTCGTATCCGCGGCCATGTGGGCCGGGCCCCTGGGCCGCGACCCCGCGGATACGGGGCGTTTTTTGCGGATGCCCCATGCGCAACGTGTCCGTGCGACCGCGTATCTGCTGGTTCGCGCCCCCGAATCCAGACGGCGAGGGTGTGAATCTGGATGCGCTCGCCGCCCGTGAGCTATCTCTCCTCTTGGACGTCCCCGATGGGCACAGGCCCAGAGCTCCGACGTCTTGATTTTTTCAGTTCTGGGTCTCCAGAAGTCTCAATTCTGACGATTAGTAGTAGTTCTCTGTAGTAGTTTTCTGACGATCCCAGGGCCTGGCGAGGGCCTCCAGAGGCCGAACACGGGGAAGCAAACTCGTCTTGAGTTTTTGTTCGGCGGCGAGCCTTGGGGGAAGTGAGAAGAGGCGGGCCTTCTCAGAAGTCTGAGAAGTTTTCAGAGTCTTCCGAAAACAGAACCTTTCACAAGGCCGGAAGGCTTCTGAGAAGTCCCGCCGCCTTCTGAGAAGGCCTTCTGCTTCTCACCTCTTTCCCTCGCTCGCCGCCTGTCCAGAGGCCGAGCACGTTATCTTCGGGAGACCTCGCCTGTCCTCAAAAGGGGTGTCTTTTCTTATGCCCGACGCGGGCTCACGACGCGGATTTGGCGTGGATTCGACGCGGATTCGACACGGATTCGACACGGATCCCACGAGTCCGACAGATTCGACGCGGATTCGTCGCGGATAGGGCCGCCACGGGACAGACAAGGTGCCTTGAGGATGCAACATAACGTCTTGATCCTTTTGGAATGCGTTGGATCTCTTTGGGGGCCAGTCCCCGTCCGCCGCCACGGCCTGCGCGGGCACGCTCGCGCGCAGGCGGCCCGCGTCGAGGCGGCTCCCTCCCTTCGCCGCGCCGCCCGCACGCCTCGAGGCCCCAGGCCTGCCCCCCCCCTTCCCTCTGTCTCTAGGCCTCCTTGATGGGGTCGGAGTAGAGGGGGCCAGAGGACCGCGCCGCATCGCCGATGCGTCGGCGATGCGGCTCGACGCGGAGCCGGATTTGCTTCACGTGGACGTCGCCGCTGCATCGCCGCCGCCGCCAGTGCATCGTCGATGCATCGGCGATGAATCGGCGATGCGGCGAGATCCTCTGGCCCCATCTAATCCGACCTCACCTGGGATGCCTCTACGTGAGGAGACAGCTCCCAGGAAGTCAGATTCCGAGGAAGAAAAGCATACCCATCGAGTCGGACCGAGGTATGAGATCGAGGCCGGTTCGGGGAGGCTATCCTAGTATTCTTCGTGCTTGCTGGATGCTCTAGTGCATCCTGGGGAGGGCACCCTCGAATGTTCTTCAGTTTGGGCCGGCGGAGGGTCTTGCGTTTTTGAAGGAGGCTCTTCTGGCCTAGGCCCAGTAGCATACTCATACCGCTACCTTTGTCTCGCTTTCCCCTCTTTGGGTATCGTCGCCACCGCTGGATTCGCCTCACCCATACCGCGACCCTTGCCTCGTTTTCCCCTCTGTGGGCCTCCTTGGAGGCCATCGTCGCAACCGCTGGATTCGCCTCGACATCCTGGTCAGAGCGTACCCCGCGAGAGGTCGGGGGAGTAGCGGTGTCGGTACCTGTTTTGGTTTCTCCCTGGATGCAGCATCGGCGCTGGTGTATCTGTGGTCGATGACCGGCCCAGTCTGGCACAGTCCCGTTCAATCCCGCCTCGCCTTCTCCTGCTTCATCCGGCTTCGTCGGGCTTGATCCCAGCTCTAGTTCGGGCTGATCCGGCTTGATGGCCCCTCGGGCCCATCGGAGGACGCATAATGGGGGGCGATAAATGGGGGGGCCGCGAGGGCTGCCGAGAAGGGGCAAGAGGGGGCCTTTGGGGCCCGACAAGGGCACATTTCCCCTCCCCCTTTGTCGCACCCCCACTGATTCGCGCCCACGGCCAGTAGCCTCCACTGGTTCTCACGAAGGCCTCCCAGGAGTTGCCTCCTGACACTCGCGCGCCTGCCGCCGCGGGCGTGGGCGCGCACGCTCGTGGCGGCCCCTGCGAGGGCAGGGCAGGGCGCCGTGCGCGCCCAGGCGCGCGCGCCTGGCGCCTCCCGAGGCCGCGCGCTCGGCTTTTTCTCGGAGGTGGCGATCGGGGCGAACAGCCCCAGGGGCGGGCGTCACACGTACCGTCGGACCAAGGCATGAGGTCGAGGTCGGTTCGGGGAGGCTGCCCTGAATCAAACGTGCTTGTTGGATGTTCTGGTGCATCCTGGGGAAGGGCGCCCTCGAACACTCTTCATGTTGGGCGGCGGAGAGTCTCATGTTCTTCCTTCTGGCCTGGGTCCGATCGCGGCGTTACACGTATTCGCCTGGAAGCCTCGCAGAAGACTTGGACCATCGGCGCCCCTGGTTAAATGGGAGGGCAGCGGGGGCTGCCGAAAAGGGGCCCCCAGAGGGGCCCTTCAGAGCCCAGTAGGGGGGCCTTTCGGGCTCGAAAAGGGCACCTTTCTCCCCCCCCCCTCATTTATCGCCCCCCAATAGTTCGCGCCCAATTGGACCATCGGCGCCCCTGGATACAAGCATTGTCCTCCCCAGGGCTATTCGCCCCCATCGCCGTACCCGATTTTCCGCGGCCGGCGGCGGGGGGCGGTGCCGCCCTGCGGCGCGCCGCGTGCCCGGCGCCACTCGCGGCCGAGCTTTTCCCGCGGCCTCGCGCGCGGGGCGCTGACGGAGCGGGCGCGCGGCGCGCCGTGCCTCGGCGTCGTTGAATCGATCCCTGCACGGTAGGTTCGCGTCGTGTCGACCAGCGGCGACCTTGCCGCCGGGGCGTTCAGCGTTGAACGCCGCCGGCGACCCAGAATCGGTCGATGTTCAGCGATCTGGCGTTCCGGAGACGGCCGATCGTGCGAGGTGGAACGCTCCCCCGCGGTGTCAGAGACCAGCGCCCGAGTCGGCACGGCACGAACCTGCCGCACCCCACTGGGCCACGGCATCTCGGCTCCGCCAGCCTTTCCCCAAGGGTGGGAACAGGCCGCGCGAAGCCCGAAGGGAGTAGCACACATCCCCGTCCAGGAGGAGGAGGAGGAGGAGGAGAGAGGAGGAGGAGGAAGGAGGAGGAGGAGGAGGAGGAGGAGGAGGAGAGGAGAGGAGAGGAGGAGGAGGAGGAGGAGGAGGAGGAGGAGGAAGGAGGAGGAGGAGGAGGAAGAATCCGTCAGTGGCACCGAGGCCATGCCAGTGGGGATGGGGCTAGGTTGAACGATGCTCACTGCCCGCCGCCTCTCGCGGCCGAGCTTTTCCCGTGGCCTCGCGCCCGAGGCGCGGACGGAGCGGGTGCGAGAGAAAGCAGGGCCGCTGAGTTCGCTCCTCCTCCTCCTCCTCCTCCTCTTCTCGTGCGAGGCTCGTGGTTTTTTAGTTTCGTTTTTTTCAACGATTTTCTGACCTGGGGGTGCCTTCAGCAGCTGCGCCTCGCCGTGGGCGTTCTGGGGGTGCCCAGATGTCCGAGCGGCCGCCGGAGAGCCGAGCTATGACCAGAAAACCTTGAACCTCCTCCTCCCTTCCAGATCTAGGCCTCGTTGCAATCTTCTCACGAGGTGAGATTTCGCCTTGTTTCGGGCCCCAGGACCGTCACGCATCGATCCGTTTCGAAAAAACGCCGTAGTAAGGTGGGGTCCTCGGCTCTGGGCGCGATTTTTTGCGATGCTGCAATTTCTTTGCCGCGGGCGCCAGTTGGACACACCAGCCATGCCCAGGATCGGTGCACGTGCATTCCTCGCCAGGTCAGGAGGGCGTATGCACCGATCCTGGGCCCAGCAGGGGCCTTGCCAGGATCGGTGTATGTGTACAGTCGTTGTCCTCCTACCTGGCGTCGGAGCCCCAAGTCCGCAGACTGAAGCAACGGGTGTTCCGTTGTGGATGTGTGTGTGTGTGTGTGTGAGGAGTCGCTTCAACGGCATCCCCGTTGTCATTTCTGTTCTGCCAGCGCAGTTACTGTGCCTAGCCGCCGACGTGAAAAGTGTGTGAGGAGGTAGGGGCGGGGGGGCGATTTGAGATCTCGCGGGAATCCAGTCGGAGATTTGGCTGGGGCCTTTCACCCCAGAGTGGGTCCCACGTTTTCCTGGTGTGCTTGGCCCCACCCTCTCGCCCAGCTGCCCACTTACACGCGCTCATCTCAAAACGTGCACGACGAGGCCGTTTCCCAGTGCGCAGGCCCCTGTCTTTGGAGATGCACTGCTCTATGCAGGGATGCTGCACGCGTGGCGGGGGGAGGATGCCATCGTCGTCGCTGTCGTCTCTGTCGTCGTTGTCGTCGTTGTCGTCGTCGTTGTCGTTGTCGTCGTCGTCGCTCGTCGCCACTCGTCCGTTGTCGTCGTTGTTACTCGTCCGTCGTCGTTGCCGTCGCCGTCGCCGTCGCCGTCGCTGTCGCCGTCGCCGTCGTCGTCGTCGTCGTCGTCGTCGTCGTCGTCGTCGTCGTCGTCGTCGTCGTCGTCGTCGTCCGTCGTACGTCCGTCGTCCGTCGTCCGCTCGTCCGCTCGTCCGCTCGTCCGCTCGTCCGCTCGTCCGCTCGTCCGCTCGTCCGTCGTCCGCCGTCCGCTCGTCCGCTCGTCCATCGTCTGTCGTCCGTCGTCCGTCGTCCGTCGTCCGTCGTCCGTCGTCGTCGTCCGTCGTTCGTCGTCGTCGTCGTCGTCGTCGTCTTTTTCGTCGTCGACGTGTTCCGTCGTCCGTCGTCCGTCGTCCGTCGTCTGTCGTTCAATATTCGTCGTCCGTCGTCTGTCGTTCGTCGCTCATGGTCGGCGTGGTCGTCGTGGTCGTCGTCGTCGTCGTGGTCGTCGTGGTCGTCGTCGTCGTCGTGGTCGTCGCGGTCGTCGTGGTCGCCGCCGTCGTCGTCGTCGTCGTCGCCGCCGTCGTCTTCGTCGTCGTCGTCGTCGTCGTCGTCGTCGTCGTCGTCGTCGTCCGTCGTTGTCGTCGTGGGTCGGTTGTCGTCCGTCGGCCGTCGTCCGTCGTCCGTTGTCCGTCGCCGCCACCGCAGTCGCTTGTCAGTCGTAGGAGGGCCCCTGCAGGCGGCTCCGCGGGCCCCGCCGGCGGCACCGCGGCGCCGGCGGCCACAGGCGCGGGCGACACCGAGGCTCGCGCCGCCGACGGGTGGGGGGTCAGGCTCGGGCGGGAGGATCGGGTGGCTCAGGGGGGGCGTGGGGGGCGCACGTTTTCTTTGCCTCCCGGCTGTTTTCTAGCCTCGGTATGGTTTCCAGCAGCTGCGCCTCGCCGCGAGCGTTCTGGGGGTGCCCGGATCTTCCCGAACGGCGGCTGGAGACCCTAGTCATGACTCGAAAGCCCAATGACGATGATCATGGGGGGGATCGGGGATGGGGCGCCCTCGAA